CTCCTTACAAACAGGACCAGTCCTTCCAGACCACTCTGACCCAGTTCTCTGTAGTAGGTCCCCACCTGCCTAGGTGTAAGATAAAAGAAAAACAGCTGATTTTAGAGGGAATGCAGGCAGGCAAAGGATATGAGCTCATTAGGCATCTGTTCACTGAAGTCAAGCCAACCCACAGCCCAAAGGATGCAAGCATCACATGCACTCCTCAGCCCCAAGAATCAGCAGTCTGCTAATTCAGGGTGGAAAGGGGGATCTTGCACTAAGAAGTGCCCAGAAGATGTGCTTTCTCCCCACTGTTGCCACAGTATCTTTCACGCACCCTTATCACTTGACTCTAGCCTCTAGTTTACGTGAGTTCCCCACCTGGGTTGTGAGCTCTGGTAAGGACCAGTTCTAGTCGTCTGCATCACTCAGGTGCCTAGCTAGCACAATATTTGGCCCACAGTGGTCCTGAAGTGTTTATTAACTGAATAAACAGATGCCTTGCCTATCCTTACTTGATCATTCGACAGAGGTTATGAAGTGTAGTCTAACCTAAATCCCATACACTGCAATGAAAAACCAGCTCCTCTCATTCTCAGTAGAAAAGGAGGACAGAACATATTCCTCCAGAGGAAAAAAAAAAAAAACCCACTAGAGATTCCCAGCCTAAAATTCAGCTACAGTTCTTTATGCCCCCTCCTCGCCACCTGCTGTTAAGCAGGCTGAATCATCACTAACACATATGTTCAAGGAATTTCTCCATTCCAGACCCTTGAAGTAAATGTGTGCTGGCTGGAGGGTGGGGTATTGGGGCTAAAGTATATATACCTAGGGAAGCTGAGGCAGGTCTTATGTGTAGTTCCCCCATCTTACCAAAGGAAAACCCTCCTTCTTAAGTTTCCCAAAGGGATGGATGGATGAGTCATAACAGAAGCAGCCCACCTCCATCAGCCTTGCCCATACCAAGTGCCTTAGACTGAGCTGGGAGCAGTCCACAGAGCCACAAATGCAAAAGGGAGCTGACACACCCCCAGATGACTTTCTAAGCCACAAATAAAAATGTGACAAAAACTGTATTCCTCCTCATCCCCTTCCACCTCCACAGCACTACCATGACTATAATGTTTCAAGGAAGTTGAGTTTTTAAAATATTGCTTGGGGGCTTCCCTGATGGTGCAGTGGTTGAGAATCTGCCTGCCAATGCAAGGGACACGGGTTCGACCTCTGGTCCAGAAAGATCTCACGTGCAGGGGAGCAACTAAGCCCATGTGCCACAACTACTGAGCCACGTGCCGCAACTACTGAAGCCCGCATGCCTAGAGCCTGTGCTCCACAACAAGAGAAGCCACCGCAATGAAAAACCCGCGCACCGCAACGAAAAGTAGCCCCTGCTCCCGCAACTAGAGAAAGCCCGCGGGCAGCAACGAAGACCCAACACAGCCAAAAAATAAATAAATTAAAAAAAATTTTTTTTAAAATATTGCCTGTCATATTCAAGGTCACTGCATCCCTCCAATCCAGATCTGAGGGAAGGGGGGCAATGGCTGTGCTTCCTTCACCTGAGGTATCCTCAGGAAAGTAGATGCGCCGGCCTCTTTTGGCCTCCTCCGGATTCCCAGGCCAACCATCGACAGCAGTTCCCTGATTCTAAAGTTCACCACCATAATGTCCCCATGACCAGAGCTCCTGAGCCAGCTCTTTGGTCAAAGATGACCCCCACTTACACCAAATACCATTACTCCAGCCAGCAATGGGTTGCAATTAAGACCAAAGGCTTACATACATTAAGCGCTGAGTAATGCAACCACTAGGCTCAGAGTGGGGTAGCTTCTCTGAAATGCTGTACCTCTGGAAGGGAAAGAAAGGGACATGCAGGATTAGAAGGTCCAGGAAGCCTGGAGCTTCCCCCAAAGCCAAGGTTCCAACGTCACTGACAGCGGCTGTAAAGCAAGGTGCAAAGGAGAAGTGAACGATTCCCTTCATCCAGTTACCCTCTCCGCTCCCTTTCTACACTTACACTCTCACTGGAGACCTCACCACCACCAAGCCAGAAGAGCTACTCTCCCTAATGTCCTTCCAGACGGAACCGGGTCCCGGCCGGTCTCCGTGGCCTGAGGCTGGAACGGACTGGAAGGAAGCAGGGAGCTGGATTTCAGTTGGGGAAGATGGAACCAGAGTGGAGGAGTAACGGGCGGAGGGAGAGACAAAAGTCTACGTTAAAAAAAAAAAAAAGGTCTACAGCGAGAAAGTACGCTGGGTGAAACACCTGAGGGCAGGTGGGCAGACCAGAACAGCCTGGGGGAAAAGTGGCAGCGCTAGGGGCTCCGGAGGCGGGAGCCTGGAAACAGACAAGCCCGGAGGAGCTCAGGGGTTCGGACAGGGCCTCCGCGGGGCCGGGGCCGGGGCCGGGTCTCACCGAGTGGGCTACGCCCCACAGGAACACGCCCATCAGCGGGTCGGCCGCCCGGAACACCTTCACCTTCTGCTGCACGAAATGCTTTTTCTTGGTTTTGGAAGCGAAGCCGAAACCTGTGCCGGAAGCCGCTGTCGGCGCCGGTACAGTGGCCGGCGGGACCGAGGAGGACGCCATAGTCTCCCGCACACCCAACCGAGTGAAAGCCGGAGCCGGCCGGCCGCGATGTAGTCTCCCGACCCCGGAAGCGGCGCTCACCTGCGCCTCCGTCACGTGACCGGAGGCTGGCCCGCAGGCGTGCGAGTAGGGCGGGGCAGGCTGACTCCGCCCCCTGGCGGCCGCACGTCTGCCCCAACGCCCGCGCGTTGCCTGGACTCACCTGGCGGTGGGGAGTCGCACCGAAGCCTTTTGCCCTGAGGGCTGCGAGCAGTCCGCGAGGCCCAGACCAGTCATCCAGGCGTAGGGGATGCTGCCTGGACTGGCCTGATTTAACCCCTCGGTCTAGGACTTCTTTGCTGCAAAGTCGCCGCCTTTCGGTTTTGCCCAGTTTCTAGGAATAACCTCCGCCCTGAAGCTAACCCGAAAGCATTTCTTTACGAAGTAGGAGATCCCTTAAGTGGGTTTTGTGCTTTTAGAAAGACCTCTCAGGCATCATTCTGGAGGGTGACCAGAGTATTGCAAGAGTCTACGCACGAGATGAGGAACTAAAACAATGATTATTGGGATGGAAAGAAGGGGCTGGCATCTAAAGGTATAGTTTGATGTCAGTTTGTAAAATCCGTAGGGGATGTGGGATTTGAGGGAAAGGGAGACATTGAGAATGAATCCTAGGCTTCTGGCTAAGGTGTAGAGAGATGGCGGTGACATGAAAAAGGAGCAGTTTTGGTTGAAAACAAGAGTTCAATTTGGACCGTGTTTGAGGCACCTGAGGGCAGCCGGACATATGGGCCCAGAGTTCAGCAGAATGATCTGGGCTGGGGATAAAAGTTTAATTTTTGCGAAGAATCCGTAGGTGAGGATGACATCTCCCAGGGAGGGCAAGGAAAGGCTGGACCCTGGTATAGGCCACCATGTGAGAGGCTAGTGGGAGAAGACTGAGAAGGGGTGGCCAGAGAAGTAAAAGGGGCCAGGAGAGCAGGGTCACAAAAGCCAAGGGAGTTGAATTTCGAGAAGGAAGGAATGGAGAGCAGTGTCAAATGTCATGGAAAGGTGAGGCAAGACATGGAAGGAGCAGTGCCCATTGTCTTTGGCAACTAGTGACCTTTGGAAAGCACTTTCAGCAGAACAAGAGCCAGATCCAGGTGGGCTGCGGGATGAATAGGAGGTGAGGAAGTGGGGAAGGGAAGCCTGGGACTTCATCAGGAAATTTGGTTGTGAGAAAACAAGGTGGGGAGTGGCTTATAGAGAAACAGAGTAAAACACACTTTTAAGGGAGACCTTACCAAGGACAAGGGAAGAAATCACTGAGACAGAAGTTAACAAAGAAAATGCAAACTGCCCAAGTCTGCATCACTTTTAGTTATTTTATATATTTTTTGTTTTAGTTTCTTTCTTAATTTTTATTGGAGTATAGTTGCTTTACAATGTTGTGTTAGTTTCTACTGTACAGCTATACATATACATATATCCCCTCTTTTTTGGATTTCCTTCCCATTTAGGTCACCACAGAGCACTGAGTAGGGTTCCCTGTGCTATACAGTAGGTTCTCATTAGTTATTTTATATATTGAGTCTTTGTAAGTACCTCAGGAATGAAGATCTGGAAGGGCCTTGATTTAGTCCAGAGAAGGGAGATTTATCACTTGTCAGACGGGAGAAAGCAAAGGGGTCTGTGTAGACAGAGGTAAGTGTGTAGGTGGGGGGGGGGAGGTGAAGAATTTCACACACTCAGTCACCTTAATTTACCCTTTAAAATAGACAAAGTTGTTGCCTAAGAGAGGACGGTGAGAAGGGATCTTGAGGAGTGAGGGTTTAGACCAGTTGCTCTGGAGAGTGGGAGAGAAAACAGCGGGGACACACAGAAGGAACAGTTAAATCAGCACCAAAGGTCAAGTTACCTCTGGGGCTCTTTGTTTTTAATTGCCCTAGTGTTTTGGTCCTATGGTTTTCTCCACTTATCTCAGAAACTCTGAAGTAAGAGCAGAGAAGACAGGTAGGGCTATACTCTAAAATGGGGGTTAGAAGGGTGATCGTGGTAAACAATCTTGGGACAAGAGAGCTGAGCTCTTGGCGAGGGAGGGTTGCAGACACACTAGAGGGATGGAACTGATGCTGGGGCTGAGGGTGGTCTGGGGAAAACAGTGAAGAAAACAGGATACCATTTTTTGTTAAAAATTACGAACAACCTAGATGGATGTCCACCAATAGTGAAATGGTTGAATAAATTATAGGATACGTTTATGAAAAATCATGTATTTTTTTAATGAGGTAAATATGTATCTTGACATGAAAAGATCTCTAGGACATATTGTCAAGTGGGGGAAAAAAGCCTGCGTGTAAATATATGGAAAAACACCTGGAAGGATATATCCCACGCTGTCATAATGCCATTACATGCAGGGAAGGGAGTGAGACTGGGGAGGGATAAAGACTTACAACACGGGAGAGCCATCACTGAATTTATTTTATTTTAAAGGTATCTATGTACATCAAGTAAATACACACTGGGGTTGGTGCAGTTTGGTTTGTCTTTCACGCTGGCATGCAACATTTTGGCAGATGTGAGGGGGCAGGCCAGGTGCCCCTCGTGGAGACCCTGGCTGTCTGAAAGGAATGTGGTGAGGGGGATGGGAGGAGGGGGATGTGGAGTGAAGCTTCTGGTGAAGGCTTTGTGTGTGTGTCGTTTCTTATTTATGTAAGTGAATTACATTTCCCTTACATCTTGCTAAAGAGAAGGCTGTTCCCTCTGTCACCTCTCTCCTCATCTGCCCTACACCTTCACATTTTCTTCTGTGTTTTAAAAGAGTCATTTGGTGGCAAGATTACATAAAGCTCACTGGATTCTTGGGTGCCCTGCTGGCCGACATTAGCACAAGTCTCCAGGTGCACAGGTATCTTCCCTCCTCTCCACTTGCGTCTGGAGACAGCGTGGCTCACCAACCCCACCCTTTCCCTCTTTGCTTGGGGCAGGGGAGCCAGATTGAACCCCTTTCCTCAGAGCAGTGGTTTTCAATCTACTCTACAGAATCCTTGGGGTCTCTTAAGGACTGTTCAAGGGCTCCTCAACTAGTGAAGCATTTTCCACCAAACAACAAAAATGCAAACTGCCCAGGTCTGCGTCACTTTTAGCTATTCTTTATGTCAGGGTTCTATATAAGATTGGTTCTGAAAAATGTTTGAATATCACCGCCTTGGATTTACTCTACACCCCTCTGGTATTTTTTTTTTCCCTGCATTTCTCCTTAATTGCTAAAAAGGGCCTAACAGGTAAAGGGAGAAAGGACTTTTTCGCTTGAAGGAGTCACAGGCCAATACAGGCTGTATTTACCAGCTGACACTCACACTGAGCTTTCTTTCCTGACTTAGAAACTAGGTGATGGGTTGCCCTGCTACCCTGTTCTTCCAGCCCAGATAAGACTGGCTATCTGGACACCAGGTTATATTTCTTGATTTGGACTGGCTTGTGACCTCCACTCTACATCCCTGCAGTTACCTGGAAAGCCACCTTAGCACCATGTGGTAGGACAGGATATGAAAACAAAACAATAGTCCTGTCAATTCCATAGGGAGTGGGGGTGCCCCCTGGGTCAAGCCCTTGGGCTCCTCCACCTCTGGAAAATCTGCCCTGCCCTTTTCTTTAAAGTGCACTTAATACCAGATGAGGACATTACAGAGGGAATTCTTTTTGGAAAAAAACATTTTTTAATGTGTATCATCGGGGAAAAGTCAGGCTCCAGCTTGAAAGGAAGGCATTTCGAGATACCTATTTTGCCAATGAACTGGAAGCCCCCAAACCAAAAGGTGGAGACGGGAAGAACATGCAGCCCAATATGGGACAGAGAAAGGAATCCAGCCCATCACTGTGGCAAAAAAATACTTAGGAATTTTCCAGTCTGTTTACCCCCAAAGCCAAAGAAGGACTCATTTTGCTTACGCTTGGCTATAACTTTCACCGTGGACAGATGAGCAACCATTTGACAGATTGTTGGAAATGGGTTGGCCTCCTCAATGTTTCAAAATAATTTTAAGCAGCTTTGGGTTCTGGTCATGAGCTCCGGGGTAGAGAATATCAAAAGGAGTTTTGAGGAGAAAGGGAAGTGGTCCCTTGAGCAATCCATGTTCTTGGTTGTCCAGGGGGCACAGGAAGAGGGAGGCAAAAGGCAGACTTCGGGGGGCAGAGGTGCACACCCAGAACCCCTCCGTTGGGGTGAGGGGTGTCTAAAGAAAATTCACCGTATAATTTAAGCAGTCCTTCCATTTCACCCTCCCCTGTGCTAAATGTGGAAGAGGAGGGAGGAAGAGTCTATTTCTGTATCTTCTCATGACGCCAAGACATTCTTCTGCTTAAGGCTTTGTGTACGTGCATGTGTGTGTGTGTTTGTGAAGGATCACAGCCCTCTAGCTCCCATTTTCCTTTTATCATCTCTGTGACTAACACCATTCAGTGTGAGAGATGCATATAGGAGAGGAAGAAGAAACACTGACCCTCCTCCCTATGGCCCCAAATGAGGAGGGTATACTATGCTTAGAAATTGCTAAATACATCATTAGATACTAGAGAGTATGACAGAGAGAAGAGAGAGACATAGCAGCAGCTTTTGATATATAGATACAGAGTACAAAGAGATACAGAGTAAGAGAAGACATCATACATAGTACAGTCGGACAACAAGGATTGGGGAAGGGAGTTAGTATCAGAGAGCACAGGTTTGCAGCATGCTGAGAGAAGAGGCCTCAGTCCCTCTTAGAAACTGGGGAAGAAAGAGAAAGAGGTTGTGAGGAACCACCTTGCAGCCCGGTCACTGAAGAGGAACAGGGTGGCATCTGTACCAGCTTGGGTTTACAGTCCTGTTCCTTTGATATCAACAGCCAGATGCCACCCTGCCATCTCCTGCTCCTCCACCCACAGGCCTTCCCTAACTCTCCCTCCCCCATTCCCACTGCTTGCTTCTCATGCCTTTCTGCCTACGTGTGCCTGGCCTATTACTCTGGAAAACCCCTGGAGAGGGCTCAGCTTGGATGCCGCCCACTAGGAGACTGGCCATGTTATCTCGTTTCTCGTTCTCCAAGGATCCAAGGTGGACAATAAAACAGGATCCCAGTGCCCATTTTGAGCCATAAAGCAACCTGGCGAGAAGCCTGGTGACACACAAGAACCAGGAAGGTGCCTGTGCTGCTAGGAGAGCACAGGGAACAGGGGAGAGGACCCAGGACAGAGGTGAAGGTGGGGCTTGGAGGTGGGCACACAGCTGTTTTCCACCTCCACTAGAAAGATTGGAGGGGAGTGCTGATACAGCAGCTAGAAGAACAAAAAGTTAGACTTCCTGGGACATTTGCTAAAGCTCATTGGTGACATATACAGATATGAGGAGTATAGGACACAGAGATCTCCCAAGGTCTCCTAATAACCACTAGGTTCTGTGACCTGTGTTGCAGCTCTAGATGGACACTGCCCTTGCCCACTTCTTTTGACATGTTGCAGCGACCCCTAGTGGCATAAAGGCGGTACTGTGGTTCCCACTACGGCCAAGCACAAGGCGGGAGGGGAGGCCAGTGCCTAGGGGACACCGGGCAGTTCTGATGTAGCCCCTGGGAGGGGGCAGCAGGAGTTGAGGGACAACTATATAGTAAAAGTTTTGAGATGATTTAAAAAAAAGCAGGAGAAACAAAGAAGCTGAGGGCAAGAAAGGAGGCAACCTGAGGCTGGTCAGAGGAAGCGGCCTGAAACTACCTGAAAGTGCAGGTATGCAGCAGCCCGTGTGGGAGATTAGCTGGCTGCCGTCTCTTGGTGGAGAGGGAACAGCTTGGCCTGGTCTTCAGCCTCGTAGCCGCATGGCAGGTCACTCCTGGAAGAAGAGACCCAGCATAATCACAGCATTGTCAGCTCCGTATAAATGACAGCATTCCTGTCACTTTGCTCTCTCAGCATCCCTGTGAGATAATGAAGGGCAGGAATACAGGGCAAATCAAGGCCAGAGAGATAGAGCTGACTTGCCCAAGGTCACAAAGTTCCCCAAAGTAGGAGGGAAACCCAGGTCATCAGACGTCCATGGTGTTTTCTCCCAGCCCCCATAGCTGGCATGGGGAGGAACCACAGGGAGAATTGGAGGAGGGGACAGTGTTCTACACCAAGGCTGGGGGTGACTGGACCTCCTGGACAACACAGTGATGGCGAGAATGGTTCTCATTTCCTCCTCCTTTCCCCAAAGTCTCCAGCGAACCTCTAAGTAAGGCATGAGGGAAATGTAACCATTTCTTCTGGTCCCACCCAGAGAGCCCAAGAGCAGTGGCAACCGGCGTACCTATTGTCATTGATATCTGTGGCATTTCCTGAAGAGGACATCATGGAGAACACAAGATTGGAAGAAGGAAAAGAGAGATTGGGTGTTACTAACGGTCTCCTCAAACCCTCTCTCATCCTAATCCCTTGGAGAAAAAGGTAAGTGTCTTGGCAACATAGCTGCCATCTGGGTCTGTGGCACTCGTCTTCAACTACCCCAAGCTGCACCATTATTTTGTTTGAGAAAAAGCCTCCCTGAGCCCTCACAGAGGAGAGGAGAAGGGGAGGGGAAGGGAAGGGAAGGGTTGGGACAGGCACGTGACCAGAGGAATCCACTTCTAAGCGTCCAAGACCCTGAAGGGATGCAGTGTTTGAGCTGTAGGTGCAGGGTCACTTACTTTTCTGATACTTTTCAACTTGCCCTGGGGATCCCACAGGCTGGTTACCCATCTTTTTCACTCACCATTGTCCATGTTGGCCTTCTGGTAGGAAGCCAAGGGGCCTCCAGAAGATGTGGCCCCACTGCTGGTACAGGAGTTTGCAAAGCTGGATGGAGCAGAGGAGAGAGATGCAACCTCTGGCACCCACCTTCCACTATTCCGAGGACCACTGATCCACACTCACCCTCAGGGATGAAGCCATCCACCCCTCCCATCCCCAGAGACCAGAGGACAACAAACATGGCCTCAGGCTGGGAGGGCAGATGACCACCTTCTAATCAAAGGTGTGAAGTTGAGAAAGGGTTAGAAATGAAGCTACTTAGGAAAAGAACTAAGTCTCACCCAATAATTAACCCAGTCTTATGCCTTATAGGGTGCAGAGAGCCTTGGGTTAGGACTTCAGCCCGCCCATGGTCACTCACTACATGTCTGAGGTGGAGCTAGGTGCAGCCTGCAGGTACAAATTCTGGTAGTTCTGGAAGAGGCTGTTGGTGTAACTGATGCACTCAGGGCTCCGGGTGCCATAGGCGTTGGTGGGTGAAGATGCTGGGTAGTGGCCAGGCCGGACGGGTTTGGCTGCGGCAAAGAAAGGAAAATGACCGTGAAGAGGCTCTTTGTTACCGTGCAGTTGCCCTGCAAGGTCATTTAGCTAGAGCTGAACTGAGTTGCAAGTAAGGTAATTCACTTTTCTACTGTTTTGTAGTGGTGGTGGGGTGAGGCTGGGGTGGGGTTACACTGAGGAATTTGCTGGGTTCCCCCAGGTGGTGATCCCTCCCGTACGCCTGCTGACGCCCACTCCCCACTCACCAATCTGGGCAGAATGGCCCCGTTTGCCGGAGCTCTTGTACCGAACGGCCTCCTTGATGCGGTCCACCTCCTGCTGGTACCGGCGCTTGTCCTTCATGGCGCCCTCCTTGGCCTCCTTCAGTGCACCCTCCAGGGCCTTAACTCTCTCAGCCGTAGCCCTAAGTCGTTTTTCCAACTTAGGAAGCTCACAACGCAGATCTGCATTGTCACGTACCAGCTGTGGGACGAGCCCCGGCGAACAGGCGGGGAGAGAGGCGAACAAGGCAGCGGAGCCGGGGGTGCGGGTGGGAGAGAGAATAAGGAAAAGTCATGTCAGGGAAGGTGGAGACCATGTGGTTTCCTCCAAAGGCCTCATTCCCTTTACCTAATTGCTGTTCTGGCCAGTTCTTTCCTTCTCCCTTTAGCAAACGGTGGTCAGGCATTAAAAAGTTCCATCATTTTCCAGGCAGCAAAAACATGCCAACTCCTCTGTAGCCCAGAACGCTTGGGAGAGCAAGAGTTCCAGTCTCCTCCTGGCCTAAACACCACCAACCCCCCAATATCTCACAGCTGGTGCCAGACCAACAGCCCCAGGGCAACCATGGGAATGAGGCCCCTCCCCCTCCCCCAGAGATGGCTCTGTGGGCATGCACACGGTGAGGCAGCAAGAGCACAGTAGCAGTTTGGAGGGTGGAGATGGTGTTGAGTGCAGGTTAGGTGCAGTGTAGAGCAGGAGCAGAAGCTGGAATACAGGAGCCCACGCACCACACACACACACACACACACACACACACACAGACACAGATACACACACACACATGGCCGCCCCATAGGAAGGAAAGAAAATGTTTTGAAGTCTCACAAACATTTGTGCTCATTACCTTCATGTTCAAGGATTTCCTGGGCTGTCCCTCTTCCCATTTAAATTAAGCTACAGCGTGGTATTAACCACCTTGCATCCAGAAAAGACTTCCTGATCTTTTTACAAGGTTTCACACAATGACTAGGGCCCTACAGGTTGCAGAAGGAGCCGGCCTTGGAAGACACCAGGCAAGTCAGTGCAGCAGGGGACACTGGGAGAACGGTCCCTTTAATTTGGGACAATCTACAGATTATAAACAATGTTTTGCTGTGACAATAACTTAGCTTAATTTGTAATAGGGTTATGGCCCTGGCTATTTAAGATTCTGTTGACTGAGAGGTTTCTACATCACTCGTGTTTTCCTTTCTAGTCTTGTGTCCCCTGAGGTAGGATATTAGGAGTCCTCTCTCCTATAGGTGAGTAGCTTTTGGTCTTTGAGACTTAGAACAGAGGCAGAGCCTTCATGGGGGAAAAGGAAAACAGCCTGTGATTTCCCGAAATGTGCCACAATGTGGATGAACCTGGAGGACATTATGCTAAGTGAAATGAACAAGTCACAAAAGGACAAATCCCAGATGATTCCACTTAGGTGAGATTCTTAGAGTAGTCAAAATTATAGAGACAAAGTAGAATGGGGGTTGCCAGGGGGTGGAGGAGCAGGGAATGAGGAGTTATTATTTAATGGGGATGGAGTTTCAGTTCTACAGGATGAAAAGACTTATCTCTGGAGAGGGATGGTGGTGATGGTTGCACAACATTACAAATGGATTTAAGGCCACCAAATGGTGCACTTAAAATGATTAAAGGTCATACATTTTATGTTATGTGTACTTTACTACAATGAAAAAAAATTGGGGAAAAAAAGCAATGTAATATGCATTTGGATTAAGAAGGAAAATGAACACAGAAATTAAAAAGAATGACAAAACCGATTACAAATGTTTCTTCCCTTTCAACTTTTCTATAATGTTGTTCACGCTGTTTTATAATAGGTAAAGGGGGAAAGATGGTACTAAAGCCCTCTGCAGGTCAAAATAAAATAAATAAACCCTGTGGACTACCACTGGGCCACAGTTCTAGGATTTTCTTCATTATTTAAAAAAATAAGAAGATGTACTGGGTATTTACTATATATGCTGGGTACGGCGGCACTGGGAAGAAAAGAAGTTTAAGCTGTAGTTTAATGAGAACATGAGTTTAAAACGAATTTTAAGGTGGATTCGAAAAGAAGGGAGTGAAGCATAGGTTAGGGTTTATTTTACGAATCAGTCAAAAGGGCCGGTTGACAGTCTTGTTGCATCTGTCTTCAAGGCTCAGCTACTTGGCACTAGCCAGGGTGCTCCTGCTATGTATGCACCAAACATTTCCTGTCCTGACTCCTTTGGACTGCCCCTTCCACCTCCGCACCCCATACCTTTGAAACCCAGTCTTCCACCTAAGGAACCGCAGCAGCGAGGAGGGGGATAGAGAGGCAGCAACTTAATACACAGGAGTTTTCACTGGCCCTGACCAGGGGCCAGTTGGGCCATCTGAGGACATCATGTAATTGCCCTGTGTGCCTGCCCCAGGCCTAGGCACAGGGAGTCCTCTCCATGAGAGAAAGCCCAGCTTCCTGACTTCTTGTCTCTCTGCTCTCCGTCTCTGGCTAACGTCTGACCAGTATCACTTGTGTACGGTCACGGCCCCATGCCTCTGAAACCTCTAACAGTTTCAACCTTTCCCTCCAACAGCGTAGGCCTGGGGAATTCCACTTTGAGCAGAGGCAGGCCGGGAGCTTTGGGAAAGGGAAAACAGGCATAGAACCAAGAACAAGGTAAAAGTGGAACCAAATACGGGATAAAGAAGGGATTTGTAGGAAAGGGAAAAGGGAAAAGTAAGGAAAACATGCAAGTAGATTTTCCTAAATCCAAGGGCCTCCAAAGATTTAGGTATCCTAGGCTCCCGGCCTCAAGAGTTCTCTTCACCCCTTACCCTCACTCTTACCTGTTTGTGAACCTTTGTAAGCTGTTCCAGGTTGTTCTCAAGAAAGGAAATCTTCTGCTTTTGGGAGTGAATCCCCCCACTGTCCTCGGGCTCCATTTCTGCACTCTGATGAGAGACAGAGGCAGGGGAAAGGTGTGGCTGTCCTGAGGCCAATCAGGTCCCACCCAGACCAGGTCAAGCCAGCCCCACTGAAGGCCACAGGGTCTGGAGAAGCCTGGGGAAAGGGGGAGGATACGGGGGCTGGGAAGACCCCGAGACGGCACTCACTTTCTTGACTCGAGTCGTGACGTCTTGAACGAACAGCTTGCGAAGGTTGTGGAGGGTCTGGAGTTCCCGGGCCTGGAAACAATGATGAAAAATTGGGGTCCCCCAAATACCCGGTCACCGTTCCCCCTCCAAAATTACTGGACCCTTCAGTCTCTCTAGACAAGTGAGTCACTCATCCTTTAGGAAAAGGTGCGTCCTGATCATGCCACAGACTGACTTTGCAGAGAAGGCAAGGAGGAATGGGGTTAGGAAGAAATCGGGAGGAAGAACTGAAGCCCTCCACCCATACCCTGTTAACCTGGCAGAGAAGGAAACCACTCACAACTGTCTCCTCCAGGCCCTTGAGGTCCTGCTTGGACTGCTCGTGTCGCTCATACAGAAATCTGGAGGAAGAGGGAAACAGAAGAATCCCTCAGGGCCTCCCTGCCTCCCTCTCTCCTCCCTCCTCCATTCCTTTGATCTATATTTTATTATTATATATTACACAAGTTACCCATGTTCACAGTGCAGAAATTAGAAAAGAAAAAACAAAGATAAGTAAACGAGTTCCATAAAAAGCCCATGATTCTACTACTTACAGATCAAACCACCGGGAACATTCTGGTGTCCATCTTTCCAGACTCTTCCATGCATGCATATCCCACATAACTGTTACGGGATTATACCATTCCTACTGTTTGTAACCTGCTTTTTACACGTCACAAAACATCCCCCACATCCTTCCGTGTCTGCTAATATTGAACAGAAGCCTCCCCTTTTCCCCCTTCCCCACCCCATCAAACTGTTCTTCTGAGGCACTTGTTTCCTGTGGTCACCATGTTCACATCTAGATTGTGTCTTGCCTCTGCAGTATGTCTGAGTAGGGTCTGCAGGCAGACCCGTCACTCACGTCAGCTCCTGGAGTTTGGTGCTTTTCTCATGTTCTTCATTCTTCAGCTTCTCATAGTCAGCCTGAAGCTTCTCCAGCTCTAACTGGAGCTTCTGATTCAGGCTGCGGGGGGCAAGGAGGTATTGGGGAGAACAAAAAGATGTCAGCAAGAGGCAAAGGGAAGCCCAGCTCCTCAAACACTTTCCTTCTTCTATACCTTTGGGTATCAGAGGCAGACTCAGGCCACTGCTTCCATGACAGGGTGAGGGGCCCTGAGCTATCTAATCAGAATAGCCTTGCAGATAGGGACTAGTCCTCACTCCTGGTACCTCCTGGAGTTGGGCTGCAAAGTCGTGTCATTGTCAGGGGAATGACACATGGAAGTTAAAGAACCGGATCCTGGTGCAAGAGGGAGCATCTGAGTAGGCACAGCAAGGGGAGGGGACCAGGTGGAGACGAGCCTCCCTGGGGAACTCTTACTCTTTGAGCTCATCAATGGTCTTCTGCTTCTCATTGATCTCGTCCCGGAGCCGGGCCAGCTGCCGGTGATGGGCCTCCCGGTGGCTGTCCATCTGCAGCTCCAGGGCCTTCTGCAAACAACCCCACCCCAAGCTCAAAGCTAGACTCCCAGACACCCGCTCAGTGAGGACCAGCACAGCCCTGCTGGGCTCCAGTCCTCCCCACGCCTTCCCCACTCACCTTCACATCTTCTGAGTCCTGTGTGTCTGGCTCCTTATCCTTCAGGGCTACTTCATGCACAGTTTCTGAGGGAGAGAGGGGAAGACAGCTTACATCAGACCTACCTCCTCCAGACAGAACTTCACATTGTGACCAGAGCTCCAGGCAGAGCAAGGCACGTCTACCCAGAATGGGCCCACAGGGATGTTCTTCTGGGTGAGGATGGTCCAATTTCATACAGCAGGGACACAGAACAATGCAGGGTTTATGGTTCATGGAAGCTGAGCTACGTGCAAGAGCATGCTAAGCAGCATGTGAGTTGGACTCCACGATTTCAGTCTAATGCTTTGGTGGGTGTGCTGTTGGGTGGTTTCCTGTGATGTTTGTCACTTTCCCTCCCTGTCCCCTCTGCGATCTTAGATCCCAGGATGGGGGGTTGGACATTTAAGAGGGCCTCACCCTGGGCTTGGAGCTTGGCCAGCTCATCACTCAGGGAGTCATAGGACTCTTCCAGGTGCCGCTTCTTGAGCTCCACGCTCTGCATGTATTCCGTCAGGGAGCGGATCTTGGCCTCATGCTGGTGGGGTGAGGGTTCATGAGAGGAAGAAGATGGATGCAGCAAAGGACCCAATTCCAGGCAGTGCAGACCTCCATAAGCCCCAGCTATCCTCCCTTCCTGCTACACCTCCCATGGAGATGCAGGGTCGAGGGACATTCCTCTGGAGACCGTTCCTTTAGACGCTCTTGGATCAGAGGGCAGTATCCCCTGATCCTTCACTTTTCTAGCCTAGACCCTCTCATGCTTCCCCCCAGCTCTTCTGTCCTTGACTTCAGTTGACCCTAGGCTCTTGACATAAACGTGGGTGCTAGGAGTTATCCCATAAGCACAGAGTTGCCCGTCCTCTCCCACGGCACCCAAAGGCTCTGGACCTCCGCACTCACCTGGGAGATGAGAAGCTGGCAGGATGAGAGCTCCCGCCCAGTCACTTCCATCTTGCGGTGACATTCGACCTGGAGGTTCTCCAGCTGCCGGCACCGTTTAACCACAGACTTGACTTCGGATTTGATTTTGCTGATGTAGAGTCGGGCCACAGTGAACTCCTCCTCGATGGCCCCGCTGATCTCCACCGGCTGTGGGAGAGCAAGGGAGGGAGGAGGTGCCTCTCTGCTGCCGGGAAGCCCTTTATCCATTTCCTTCTACTCGGCCTAGCCCCCAGGCACACACACCCAGAGACACAGGGACTCGGGTGGGACGGGTATGTTCCAGATGACTTCTAGCAGCTCTGTATCACCTGTCATTTCACACTAAATCCCTCTCTCTGTGCTTAAAGATCCAATTCTGACAGTCACCTTCTTTCATCCTGTAGAGCAATAGGATATTCTGTAGTCAAACTGACCTGCTTGATCACCCAGATGGGTCACTGTCACTGCCACAGATCTGCATATATCATTCCTAATTGTGTGCTCCCATCTCCAAATCCTGCTATAAGCACATCTCCACTGCTTCTTTATTCAGCAATGTGAATTTCAGTTGGTGTGTGGATTTAGACTGTGTATTTCAGTTGAGTCTATGCAAACCTCTACCTGTTTTCCCGTGTCTAGTTTGCAGGCGTGTTTCCTGGATCTTTGGCAACCCCCCTTCCCAGTATCCCTGAGGGCCTGGGTCATCTCACCGGCACCTCCCACCAGTGCCCAGAACGAGAATGACCTGAACAAGGCTGCCGCCTCTTTCTCCACTCACCAGCTTAATCTCCCCGTTGCCCACGATGACACTGAACTCACTCAGGTCCTTCATCAGCCCGTTCAGCACCTCAGCAATTCGTTTTCGCTGGTGTCCACTGACCTCCTGTAGCCGCTGCAACTCAGACTCCAGGGACAGCATGGTGGCCTGGGGACAGCCCTTCAGGTCATCCCATCGCCATCTTCCTGCTCCCCTCCCCAGCCCAGGCGGAGGCCTCTCCCTTCATGCATGACCCTGATGGCTGCGATGAAGAGAACACAAGCCCTGCAGAAGGGTCTGGAAGAGAGAGGGGTCAGAAGGGCCAAGTGCAGTGGCGGGATGGGGGAGTGTCCCACGACACACTGAACGGCAGTGCAAAGGTGCAAACGTGATCCTGCCCCATCAGGAAGCAGAGGTCCCTTTGGATGTGGAGGATGTTCTGAGGCCAGGGAGCTCCGAGCCGGCTACTCACCACCTTCTGAGACAGCTCATCCACCAGAAGCTGGTTCTGCTGGCTCTTCTCCTCCACCTCCTGGGACTTCTGGTCGTAGTTCATGGCCAGCTCCTCCAGTGCCTGCAGCACTTCCTTCACCTCATCCTTCGCGGCGTCGTTCTCCGACTGCAGGTGGCTCAGCTCCTGCTGGACCTTCTCATTGTCTCCTCGAGTGGACACCAGCAGCTGCAAGGGAGGGGCGAGCCACGTGAGGAAGTCCTCTGCCGGCGACCACTTCGACGACCCCTTGGTCTGGGGAAGCTGAGCCCCCCACCCAGGTATAGGTCTAGGAGAGAAGCAAGGGCCAAAGCAAGAGTCAAGAGGAAGTGGGCTTTCCGCTTCACAGAAGTAGGGCAACAGAATGAAGAAGCACCCAGACTCCGGCATCCGTGCTTTAAGTTTCCAGATTTCTATAGTCTTGGAGGGTGACTCAGCCCTCAGCAGAATGCCCCTTCTTCCATCTTATCAGGAAAAGGTCTTTTGGATGCCTTTCAGGGATGAACGCGCTCTCGTGTCTTGCCCTCCTTCCCGTTACCTCTTCCTGGTCCAGCATCTGCTGCTTGAGCTTCTCTATGAGTTGGCTCTGCTGGTTGATCTCATCATCCTGTTGGAGGCAAGAGGGGTAGAGGCGGGGTGAAGGGAGCTACTCCCTCCAGTGTAGACTTACAGGGTTGGGGTACACGTGGATCCTGATACAAATCCAGCTAGTTTAGGCTTTGATTTAGAAACTCCACATCCTAAAAAAAGAAAGGGGTCTTTCCCTCGGCTTCTTTCCTTGACCCCTGCCCTCATTTTTTAATCCCTTTCTTCCTAGAAGTTGGCATAACCTTGACAATGCACAGCAAAAGCCTTTAAATGTTCATATCCTTTAACTGAGGAATCCCACTCTAGCGCTCCATTCTAATCAAATCATTCCAAAGCAAAGTCTTACGCACAAGGGACAAAGATAGTCATTTCAGAGCGATTTATAACAGCAAAAACAACCAACCAACAAAAAAACAAACAAAAAACCCTAGAAGGCTTGTAAATAAGTAAATGGTTAAATACATTCTGGTAAATGGACTGTTAGGCAGCTATTTTAAAATGCTTTTATGAAGAATTGTTAACAAAGTAGGAAATTGCTCATTATATAATGAGGAATGAAAAAATCGGATGCAAAGTTACATATACAGTATAATCTCAATTGCATGGCTTTATTTCTGAATGGTGGGAGGAGATGATTTAAATTTTCTTCTACATATTTTTATTTATCTTCCACATTTTCAATAATGAACATTCATCTCTTTTAAAATCAGAAAAACGGCAGGATAATCTACTTCTTTAATCCCTCGCTTACCATCCCACTGGGCTCTCACCTCTGTGCCCTGCCCGACTGTCCTTACCTTGTCATCAAGCTGCTTGTAGAGGCGGCGGATCTCCTCCTCGTACTTCTGCCGCTCCTCAGGCGCGATGCGCACCACGATGGATGAGTTGTCGTTCACGGGCGTTTCCTCACAGAGCTCAGCTCCCAGGGCAGCATCCTCCCCAGCCAGGCGCTCCGTCTCTGGCACGTCCTCTCCTGGCAAAGGGGCGGAACAAGGTGAGGGATGGGAGAAGGGACAGCTGCATCCGAGGGTCCTTCCTCCCTCACTGTACAATGCGGAGACCTCCAGACCTCCATCTCTCTTGCCAAATGGACCGTCAACCTTTCGGGGGGTGGGGGTAAAGGCAGTCAAGCCGCTCTCGCTTTCTCTCATGACTGCTCTACTGCACCCCTCCGGAAACGCAGCCCCCCTTGGAGATCGTAGGAGCCCTCTCTGGCTCCCTGCACCCACTGGACCCGTTGCTAACCACTGCGCCACCGGCTCAGCTCTGTCTCCAGCTTTGCAATCGTCTCCTTCTGAGCCTTTGTCTTCTCCTTCTCCTTCTCATATTTCTTCTTCCACTGCTCGGCAGTCAACTCCAGATTCACGGAGGCAGTGTTCTTAATGGTCTTTGCCCTGGAGAGGAGAACGAAGAGATGAGACCTCCATTAAGGCTCACAAGACCCTGAGGGGAGAGCGCGGCAGGGGCTGCGGCAGGGAGTGAGGGGACCCTGCCACCGACCGCTGTCCGAACATCAGGGTGGACTTGGTCTCCGCATCATTGTAGTTGGACGGTGAGCAGCAGATGAACATGGTTGTCCGGCAGTTTCCTCCCAAGGAGTCCTGGAGAATCCGTGTCATTTTGCTGTCACGATATGGAACGTAGCTTTTCTGGGGGAAGAGAGAGGCCGCAAATCAGAAAACAAAATTCAATGGGGGAATCAGAAAGGATGGTGGGGGAGTTCCCTGGTTGCCTAGTGGTTAGGCTTCCGGGCTTTCACTGCTGTGGCCCGGGTTCAATCCCTGGTCAGGGAACTGAGATCCTGTAAGCTGCATGGCACAGCCAAAAAAATTAAAAAAATAAAAATAAAGAAGGGACGGTGGTGCTGACTAGGGGCGGAGCAACCCATGAATTGGCATGATGAGGTGGGGCATTAGGAGAAGGCAGAAGATGGGGTGGGGCTTGAGGGCTGCGGACACCTAAGGAGCACTCACTGTGCCCTCAGCCAGCGCAGAGATCACGTTCCCCAGGGCTGACAGGGACTTGTTGATATTCTTGGCCTCGTCCAGCACAGCTCCCTCTGCTCCAGTCTTGCTGACCTACCAGGGCACGAAGGGGTGAGTATGTCGTGAGCGGCTGCAGAGGGAGTGGGCTCTCCCCACCTCTTCTCCACGTAAGGTGGCTTAGTCCAAGGAGACGGGGAGAGGGAAAGAGGACAGAGAAGGCCCTTCCTCTGTTCCCCTAAACGCTCTTGCTACAGACCTCACCACACACACACACACACACACACACACACACACACACACACACACGTTATACGATTCCATTTATGTGCAATGTCCAGAAAGTCAAATCCAGAGTCAGAAAGTAGATTAGTGGTTGCCAGGGGATAGGGGAGGGGAGAAGAGGGCATGACTGTCAACAGGTGGTGAAAATGTTCTGGAATTAGTGGTGATGACGCACAACCTGCCAATCATACTGAAAGTCACTGAATTATACGCCTTAAAAGGGTGAACTCTATGGTGTGTGAATTCTAGCTCAATAAGAAAGTTATTCTGATTTACAGAAAGGCCACCCCCCTCCAAGGCTTCCTTCCTTGCCCACCCCACCCCGACAGGACCCCCAACCTTCTCGCTCCCTGCCAGGTCCACTAGATACAGCTTCCCACTGAGCTTCTGCTCGGTCTCCATGTTCTCCTGCTTGATGTTGATGAGGAAGATGCTATGGCTTCGAGAGCTGTGTTCATTCATGTCTGTAGGAGGGGGGGTGAAACAGTCCCTGTACCACCCCCTGCGGAACGGAAGCCCTCAGCCCCGGCTTCCACAGACCACTGCCTCCACCCGCCAAGAGAGGAGGTGTCTGTCGGGACTAGCCTAGCCCCTACGTCTCCCCGGCAGCAGGTCTCAGGGTCACACAGACAAGCGTCCCTCCTCCTCTGGAGGACACAGCCTTCCCTTGCTCACTTCCGCGTCCCTCAGCCCCAGAGGGCACAGAGGAGAGGCAGACCCCACGGTCAAGATCCCCTTGTCTCCCCACTCACTGGTGACAGCCACATGACGATTTGATTTCCCTTCATCAATCACATCTAAAATTTCTTCTGGGCTGGACACAAAGCGCTCAGTACAACCCTGTAGGGGGCAAATGGATAGTGACCCATGCACTTTGATCTGCAAATTAAATTACCTGCACAGTGACCAAATGACCTCTCCAGACGGTGCCTCTTCCCGGGCTCCAGACTCTCCCCAGCCCCTTGGCATGTCTCACCCCACCAGGATGTCCGCCCTCCAACTTCTGGGTGGGCCTTTGGTCTACCGTCCTCCTACACCTGCACTCTCAATACACTGGCCCCACCTGGGTGTCCCATCCCCACTCTCACCTTGACAAACGGCACTCGGTTCTTGTCCTCGTGCACAGACAGATTTGTCTTGGTCACTGAATCAAGACAATTCAGGGTGAGCAAGGCCAGCACTTCCAGCCCCTCACCTCCCCAACCCCTGCACGCTGCAGTCTACTTGGATGGTGCATTCTTCTATGTGCAAGAGGGAGGAAGACTCCCCTGTGAAGCTTAAACCCCCTGCACGTGCTGAAGGCTGTTTTTCCTCCTGCAGGATTCCAGCCCCAGGGCTGCAGCTAGACTCAGGCTGTTTATATGTGGGCCTGGGCATCTAAGCTCATCTTCTGACCCTTTCGGTTTTGGGAAATTCTTGGTGAGTGGAGGCAAGGGACATAAGTACAAGTGTGTGTGTCCTTGTGTGCCTGCTGCATCACTCACCAAACAGTACCAAAACCCAAGAGCCCAAAAGCAATGTGATCTTTCTCTTCCTTGCCCTCCTCACCCCTACCCACCCACTGAGGTTAAACACCACTCACCATCCAGAAGGTCACGGATTTTGTCCAGGTAAATCTCAAAGTAGGAAACCTGGTTGGGGAGAAAGGAGAAGTATGAAGTGAAGAGGGCCTATCTTAAATCTGATACAGGGATCTCAGGCTAACGCAACCCGCTCAAATGGTGGTGGTGGGAGAGAAAGGGCAGAAGAGACTATGTTGGCAGAGAAGAACTTAGGTAACCACGGTGGAGAATAAGTTGGGGCGCCAGGATCTCAGTGGGTTCATACTAGATCTTCCCCTCCCAGTCCCATAAGAGGATGCCCAGTGGTCATGCCCTGATCACCTTGATGTGGAACTCAAGGTTCTCATCCATGGAGTAGATATGGTTGAAGATGTCTTGGGCAATTCGAGGAATGATTCCCATCAGCTGAGGGTCATGCAGCTTTCCCTGGGGAGTAAGGGTATTCTGGAATGAGGCTGGGCTCAGGAGGGATCAGACAACTTGGAGGTATGCAGATGAACACAGAGATAACAGCTGCTAAGAAGACTATCTTAACTTAGGGGATGGTCACTACCTTTTAGTGGAAGGAGGAGGGAACCGAGCAGCTCTCTGGACTTTCATTGCTGCTGCTTTTCCAGGTGAAAAGAAGAAAACTGGAGTAGTGGAAAGGAGGGTGAACTGCAGCAGGCTGAAGGGATTCCATTAAACTTCCACTATAACGCTGCCCTCCGTTCATCCTCTGTACCAGGCAGCCCTCAATTTCTAGATCTTTCCCTACTGAGATTCCTTGGCCTCCTATTAACACTCCCAGCTCCTCATTCCCATAAAAGTCAGAACCCTCACCTCCATAGTATGTGTCTTCCCTGAGGATGTCTGTCCATAAGCAAAAATGGTGCCATTGTAGCCAGCAAGGACATCTGAAGAGATGGCAGAGAAAGAACACTGGTAGAGAGAAGTGGGGTAGGGAATGAGGAGCCTGAAAAAAATACATTCTAAAAATACATTCATTACCTTTGACAATCTGCATGGCACACGCATGATAAACTTGCTCCTGAGTCGTGTTTGGAGGGAATACACGGTCAAAGATATATGGCTTCCCCTGGAATGGAAAAAAAAGATGGCAGACATCAGTAGGCAGGTGTGAGGGAGGAGAAACACCCAAAAAGGCACCCGTTCTTCCACCTTCTGTACACATGGACAATTATGGGGATGAGGGAAACCAAAGAGAGCTAAAATTTAGTACTGACATCAGGAGTTGTGTCTGTGGGGTAGAATGTCATTGAGGAGTGTCACACAGCGAGACTGCATGAGTGGATCTCAGTCTTGGTGTGATGATTTAGCACTCACCATCCCAGACCCCCAGCCTGGGAAGCCAAATGGGAAAAGACAAGAGGGCCACAGGCTGTGGAGAGTGAAGAACAATATATTAACATTAAAAAATCTACCACTGGGGGCTTCCCTGGTGGCGCAGTGGTTGAGAGTCCGCCTGCCGAGGCAGGGGACACGGGTTCGTGCCCCAGTCTGGGAGGATCCCACATGCCGCGGAGCGGCTGGGCCCGTGAGCCATGGCCGCTGAGCCTGCGCATCTGGAGCCTGTGCTCCACAACGGGTGAGGCCACAGCAGTGAGAGGCCCGTGTACCGCAAAAAAAAAAAATCTACCACTAAGTTAAAAAATATCTTCCTCAATAGATCCGCATGTCCTGATACGAAAAGGTGTTGAAGATGTATTAAGTGAAAGATGCAAAGTTAGGGACAGATGTATAGTATGTTGCCTATTGTGTAAATGAAATACACAAATACCGAACTACTGAGCTGTTGTGGAAATATTAACACAAGCTCTCTCTTTGTGAAAAGAATATATGAAATCAGAAATATTAGGTTTCTGACTTCCCTGGTGGCACAGTGGTTAAGGATACACCTGCCAATGCAGGGTACACAGGTTCGATCCCTGGTCCGGGAAGATCCCATATGCTACGGAGCAGCTAAGCCTGTGCGCCACAACTACTGAGCCTGCGCTCCAGAGCCCGTGAGCCACAACTACTGAAGCCCGCACGCCTAGAGCCCGTGCTCCGCAACAAGAGAAGCCACCGCAATGAGAAGTCCGCGCACTGCAATGAAGACCCAATGCAGCCAAAAATAAAATAATTAATTAATTAAAAAAAAAAGAAATATAGATCTCCCTTTAGGAAAGCAGCTTTAAGTAAAGAGAAACTGTGAAGCAAGTCACTCAGACCTCCAAGTACTTTGTTTAATTCAGATAATATGTTATAAATCACATGTGCTGATAAGAATGCTAAAGATACAAAATATTTACAACCCAGGGAGCCAAACAGAATATATTTGCTATCTAGTCATATTAAAGGGAAGATCTCTGGTAAGATTAAATGTGACTATGCTTGTTCTCCATCATAAGTGACAAACTACTCAGTCGTGTTTTCCCGTCATTCGGTATAAAGAGACTATGACTTAGTTGTCAAATTATTTTACTAGAGTCCATCTTTCTTCAACTGATATGTAAACCTTCAGATCTATGGACACCAGAGTTTGGGAGACACGTTTTAACTAATTAAGAAAAGTCATACTTTATTATAAGGTGTATTTTTGGATCCTGGGACATAATAGGTCCTTCAATTTATTCATTTTCTATCCAATCACATTATAAAATATCTTATTAATGTTATTAGCTTCTTTGTTCAGTCTTTTGAGTTACCAAGTATGAAATCATATGCATGTAATAGTTTTGTCTCTTTCTTTCCACTGTTAATACCACTTATTTTATTATTTTACCTTAGAATACCCCAAACAACATTAAATTGTGATCACTGGTTTCCTTTTTACTATGATGTATGCTATTGGTGTCAAATAAACAGTCTTTGTGGTTCAAAAAAAGAAATCATAAAAGTTGGCTAAAGCTGAAGATGTGGGTCTAGGTATATCTACAATATTGCATCAACATGTGTAGAATTTTTTTCCAGAAGGAATTATATAAAAGTATTAACAGGGGCTTCCCTGGTGGCGCAGTGGTTGATAGTCCGCCTGCCGATGCAGGGGATGCGGGTTCGTGCCCCGGTCCAGGAAGATCCCACATGCCGCGGAGCGGCTGGGCCCGTGAGCCATGGCCGCTGAGCCTGCGCGTCCGGAGCCTGTGCTCCGCAACGGGAGAGGCCAAAACAGTGAGAGGCCCGCGTAACAAAAAAAAAAAAAAAAAAAGTATTAACAGTGGTTATTTGGGGGAGAGAAACTGGGAGAGGAGGCTTTCATTTCTCAGTCTGTATCCCGGAAAGTTTACATTTTTAAACCATGTACAAGTGTTTTGTTTTGTCTTGTTTTATTAATGCCAAAGAGAGTGAGACGATAGTGTATTATTTTGTTTCCTTCTTTTTACTTCTCTGCAAAAAGGAAAATATTATTTATACTAATAAATATTTTTTAACATTAAAAATTTTTTTAAAATCTGGCTTATGATAAATATCTACCTGGAATATTTATCTGGTCTCTGTGGTGAAAGATTCTGAAGCCCAAAAAACAGAATCCACAAAGAGAAAGAAGTTGTGAAGGTGCTCTCTACAACTAAGGGAGTACTGTAAACTGATAGAGGCTTTCTGGAGGACAATTCTATTAAATATTTAAAAGTCCATGCTGGTCATACTCTGTCCCAGCGATTTCAATGCTAGGAATTTATTTTATGTGTGTAGCACACTTGCTTAAGCACTTAAAGATGTGTGTAGAAGGATGTTCACTGCAGCCGTTTATATCCAAGAAAAACTAGAAACAATTCAAACATCCATCAAGAAGATATCGGTTATGATACCTCCATAATCTACCCCCATTAAAATGAGCAAGGTTGGGGCTTCCCTGGTGGCGCAGTGGTTGAGAGTCCGCTGATGCAGGGGACACGGGTTCGTGCCCCAGTCCGGGAAGATCCCACATGCCGCGGAGCGGCTGGGCCCGTGAGCCATGGCCGCTGAGCCTGCGCGTCCGGAGCCTGTGCTCCGCAACGGGAGAGGTCACAACAGTGAGAGGCCCGCGTACCGCAAAACAAAAATGAGCAAGGTTGGTTTACGTATATTGACATGTCCAAGATTGATCATGTGAAGAAATAAAAACAATTTGTATAATGTGATTATACATTTTTAAAAAGCATATGGATAGAACAGTCTTAGAAAAAAGATACGGAAGACTGTATATAGATCTGTTAATGGTGGTTATGACTGGAGAGCAGAATGACAGGAACTTATGCTTACTACATTTTTTCTGTGATATGTAAATATTTTACAGTGACAACGTATTGCTTTGAAATTAAAAAAAGAAAATAGAATAGGTGATGTTACAGAAAAATGTGTAATGACAAGTTACGCACAAAATAATTTTAAGAAAAAAGTGGTTTTTAAAATAGTATGCAGTATAAAAAAACACACACAAGAGAGTATATGAAGGATTATTTCATGTCTGTAAAAAAAATCATATATATGTATATATGTATAGCTTGCACAGAAAAACGTGTTAACAGTATCTATCCTTGGACAGTGGGATTTTAGGAGTTTTTGTTGTTGTTCTTTTTGACTTAGATTAAAACTATTCCAAAATGAAAATACATAATTTTTAAATAAGAAAAAATTTTAAACAAAGATATTAATATTCTTACTACATAAAGAACTCTCATAAATTAGTAAAAAGGACAAAACTAACCAGAAAAATATAGACGAGAGTTAGGTACTAACAACAGAAGAAGAAATACAAATGTTCAATAAACATAAAGATGATCAACATTTTTGAAGAAAAAAACAGTAACATCGTTTTTCACCTATCAAACTGGAAAACAAAAACTTAATTGTAATATGCAGTGTAGATGAGGGTTCAAGGGGGTATAACTTCTTCGAAAGGAGCATGCTCATTCTTTTCTGGTAGGACAGTACATCCATACTTTTAAGGGGCAATTCAAAAATGCATAATCAAAATCCTTGGATTGTACATATCCATCGACCCAGATATTCTAATCCTAAGAATTTGTACTAGGGAAATATTTGTAGCAAATATTTAGCTACAAGAATGTTTATTATCAACACTGCTTATAATAATGAGAAATTGAAGACAACTGAAAGGAGTTACATGTAGGGGACTGGTTAATACAAGGAATTGATTACACTATGGCATGTACATATATTTTATTCTTTGCTGCTATTTAAAATGATGTCATACATATATACACTACTACGTCTAAAATAGATGACTAATGAGAACCTACTGTATGGCACAGGGAACTCTACTCGGTGCTCTGTGGTGACCTAAGTGGAAAGGAAATCCAAAAAAGAGGGGATACATATGGCTGATTCACTTTGCTGTACAGCAGAAACTGACACAGCAGTGTAAAGCAACTATACTCCAAAAAAAGTTTTTTTAATTAAAAAATAAAATGATGTCATAATAGAACACCAATAAATCTCAAAAAGGAGTTGAGGGAAAGAACTGAAACTCAAAGAGCACATACTGTATTATTCCTTTTATATAAAGTTCAAGAATAAACAACACTTCTTTGTAGTGATAGAAGTCAAAGTAGCGGTTGCCTTGGGGTGATATTGACAGGAAGAGGGCAAAAGGGAGCTTTCAGGGGCAATCAAAATGCTCTAGATTTCAATCTGGGTGGTGGTCACACAGGTGTCAAAATATGTTATAAAATTCACCCAGCTGTTTGCATAAGATCTGTGCACTCACTGTATGTAAGTTATACCTCAGTAAGCGCTATCATAAAATACCACATCACAAGATGATGTGATAATGGCTCTTAAAATATGAATTATGCACAACCTCACTGTTTATAAGAGAAATGAATATTAAGACTATGAAGTAGCATTTTCACCTATCCAAGTGGCCAAAATAAAATAGTTTGACGATGGGACTTCCTCCATGGTGGTCCAGTGGTTAAGGCTCCATGCTTCCACTGCAGGGAGCATGGGTTCGATCCCTGGTCAGGGACTTAAGATCCCACACGCATGCAGTGGCCAAAAATAGTTTGATGATGCATTGCACTGGCTGGGCCCTTAAATATACATAGGGTCGTTGAATTGTTTGTAATAGCAGATGACTAGAACGACCCTAAA